TTCCCGGGAAAGGAGGGGGGGCTGTAGCCATTGTTCCTGCTGGATGATGGGGATAATGGGTGTGGGTGATGCTGGCTGGCCTTTTTTTTATTTCAATCTGCTCAAGGAGGTTCAATCCAACATCCTGAATGGACAGGCTGGAGACTGTGTTCCAAAGTGTCGCATGAACAATAGAACCGTCTGCCTCCTGGACGGGCACCGCATCCTTTTATTAGATACCGTAGCTACACACACATGGACAGCTTTATGTCGGTGGACCTGAGAAGAGAAAATGTCTGTCTTCATAACAAAGTCCTTACTTTAAATTAAAACTTTAATCTGTCTCCTTCAAAGATACTCATATGTAGCAATAAAATGTTAAAGGCAACTTTCAACGTCATCCCTGTGACAGTAAATGCAGTGAGTTCTTATAAGAGACAAATGTTTGAGCAAATCCAGTTCTAAGGTCTCCTAGGTTTTTTTTATTTATTTTTTTAGCGAAGATAATGCTGAATTATTTTCCAAATGTATAGCCTACAGAGTAAACTGCCAGTCAGCCGATGTCAAGTTAGAAAATTGGCAAATATGTTTGTGTATTTTTGTTGGGAAGCTTTCATTGCAGCACAGAAATGTATACATCATATGTCCTTGGACATCCAGAGACGGAGTATTTGTCGTCATTCTTTTTTGTGAATAGATCAAGCTCTGATTGGATGAAGAATCAAGATAAAAATAAAATGAAATAAAAAGTTTAAAATACTTTTTCTGGAAGAGAATCTCAACTGGATGTAGATCTGGACATATGCTTTGATCTGATCATTGCAGCTCTTTCTGTTTGGTGAAAGTCAAAGTGCTTTGTTCTTTCTGGTCCATCTAGTTTAAGTTTGGACAATAATTTGTGAGAGTTTTCTCTATATTTTGAAGATTGTTCTGTTGGAAACAAAGATTAACATTCTTGACTGACTTTTGATTTTTGCTGATTAGGTCCACATTACAGCGACATCTTACTAATGAAGAAAACTAGCTATACCACTCATTGAGAACTTGGGTCAAAATTAAAGATACAGTCTCTCCTCCAGCAAAGTGACATTCTTTCTTACATGCCAACTTTTTGCAAAAAAAGTTGACATGTACTTTATTTACTTCAGGAGATTTCTCAGTTTTTCATCTTCTCTAATAACTATGCAAGCAATTTAATAGCATGTGTTCCTTTTCCTTGTAAACAAAACACAAGAAACCATATCTTAAAGGACTATTACATCGTAAAGCCAGCTGAAAATTGCTCGTTAGTGTACTTTTTTTTTTTTTTTAACTAATTGACGATGCAAGTGTTCTGAGGTTTGGAGCATTGATGTAATATTAGTGATTACCAGGAAAAGGGGCTGGTAGGGGAACACTTCCACTTAAGCGTATTGCAAATTAATCATTGCTTACCTAATCTGAAAGTGCTCCAGCAGAATATTCAGATCCTAGATGCACCCAAGAGTCATAATTACAAGCACATTTTAGTCTACTGGCGCAACACGGCTTTGAATGTTAAAAATGAGGTGTGCGGGTTCTGCCCCCTCCCCCCCCTAAACGTTCCCTTTTGCAATAAATTATTCCTACACATTAAAACGGTAATTATTTGCAGATGTTAACACTTCAAGCTGCAGCGCCTTGCAAAAGTATCCTTGGCCGTTGCATCTTTTCACATTTTCTAAAGGTACAACAACACAAAAACAATGTCCTTCATTGAGATTCTGGGGCAGGCCAGCAGAAAGTAGTGCAACTACAACTACAGCACTTGGTGAGAAAACACAGGGGAACAAAAAGCAAAATAATACTGGGATACCCACCACAGCACCATTGTCATGTGAAACAATCCCTGACCACCAATCCCCCCAGGGAGCAACAATACTGGAAAAGGAAACAGATACAAACTCACTTCCTGTCCCAGCAGTTAAATTTAGAGATCGGCGAAAGGCTTTTCGGTTTGTTATTCAATGAATCGCAAATGAACCCAAATGAAAGGCACGGTGCACGGACGGGAGACCGTTATGGATACAAATCCGTTCTCGTGCGTTGTTTGAACGAACGTCAAGGCAAACAAAAGGAGTTGGCACACGCCTGCCTTTTCCTCAAATGAGCTCTGCGCAGCGTAAACAATAAATCATAGAGAGCGGCCCCATGCAATGCCACAGAGCCCGAGCTCTGACTTGATCCAAAAATACAGATTTTTACATAACTTTCCTGACCTTGTCTACCCTGCAGCTGCTATTTGAAGGCCAGTTAGGTCCTTGTGGATCAGGAAAAATTAGAGTTTTTGAGGTGAAATCATGCCGGCCCTTTCTGAGTTCACAAGGGCACGTTTTTACCTAACCACTACAGCCTTCAGAAATAAGTTGAACTTTTACTTTGTATGACAGGCAGGAATTATGACACCTACTTAATGTTGTACATTGTTTCAGCAATGCCCCTGTGTAAATTCTCGAGATTGTGATTCACTATATGACAAACTTTAATGTATATTACTGGAATTTTAAGTGACCAACTCAAAATGAAAGGGAAGAGTTTAAGGATAAACAATAAAGGACATCTGCAAATATCAGTGCCTATGTCTTTTCCTTGAACTATTAGTTCAATTTAAGTATGGTTAAATAATGTCTTAAGTCTTGAAAATAAACCTTACTTAACCTTAAAGCAGCGCAATTCAGTTGAAGCTTATTTGATCAAGGACGGCACATTAAAACAGTGTTGCATGTTGAAAACAAAGCAACTGTTGTTTTGTCTGTAGGTTTTCTAGCCACAGACTAATTTTCTAACCCAGAACCGTCTGTTGGACCTTTTTTAAAAGACAGGAAAGTTAAAAATGAAAGATTCCTGTCTGTGACACCCACACACCGACACTTGCATTAAATTTCTGACTAATTACATGAAAATGCATATGAGAAAAATCTCCTCAACAACGTAAGCTGGTATACATTTGTTTTTGTTTTAGCCGTTGTTTCACCTGGGAATTAAAACGCTTTCAGATCTGTTACCAGTTTTTATAGCTGAACACACAGCCAAAGTTACAATGGTGTGGTTTATTAGCCAGTAACTTTCAAATTGATGTTAACAGACTCTTCTCATCAAACCTGTTTGATCTTTAACCGTTTTGCAAAAAAAGAACAAGCAGAAATCTTGCCTGGTAGAGACATACTGCAAAGAAAGTTCAAGTTCTAGGTTGGTGGATGTGAAAAGATGGATCTACAAAACGTTGACTTGGACAGGTTCAGTAAAAGTGCCCTCCAGTCTTCTGCTTTTTGAGTTTCTAAAATGAAAACATGTTCCTTTCACTTCACAAGAACTAAAATGTTTTTTTTTTTAAGAAAAAGGCCTGATGGGCTTCATTTATTTTCATTGGATAAATTGAGGAAATGGATCCACTGTGACTCCAACAATGTCAGGAAGTAGAGTCACAGTGGCATCTGATCTCTGATGTTCCCTGGGAATAACTTTATGGATATTTGCTGCAAAAGAAAAAAAGTTGACTTTAGTTTGTGCATTTTTCACAGCTTTACACAAGCAAAGGTCTCTGTTTTATTAGCTTTTTCTAAGGCACTCCTTAAACATTTTTGCCCTGAACGGTTGCGTTGAGGAAGGGAAACAGTCTAGACAAAGCAGATAATCAAACCAGTGATGGCTGAAAAGCTTTATTAATGCTCCATTGTTCTGAAGAAGGAACCAAACCCTTTCTACACACTTGTAGTGGGTTGTGAAGTTTCTTGGACTTGTCAGTGGGAGAAGCAGATGATCAAGAGTCACTTCATTCAACCTGAAAGTTACTGAACGGTGGTGGAATGTTTAGTCTGTGAAAAAGAATAGAAGGCACCTATTTTTTTAATTTTATTTTATTTTTGTTTATAATTTAAAAGAACAGATTATGCAAAAAGCTCGTCTGCAGATTTGCTGCTGGCTTCACCTGGCACTGGCGGGTTGCCCTCCGCAATGTGTTCCTTGACCCCTACGGCTTTTCGCTGAAAACACAGAGGCCGACGCATGCGCACACAATGGAAAGTGGAGATAACAGAACCGCTCGCAAATGCCAGAACAGTTTTGACACGCGGTATGGACTGAACCCCGTAGCCGTTGCTTCCTCAGCGGAACGTGCACATTTGTCCCCAACAAGGGGATGAAAAAAACACATTCCTCTAAAGGTTGAGGCGTCTCATTCCTATCGTTATTGGAAGAGAAAATCATGGTAACCCACAGGGAAATAAATGATTTCACTGTTTGTTCCAGTTTTTTTTTTTGTTTACTTTGACCACTCCTAAAGTTGAAGCTGTTCCAAAAACCAGGTTCCGTTAAATTTTTCTATTAACCCCTTTTCCTGCCATAAAAACTGCTTATCATTACGCCAACTGGTAATGGAGGTGCTGTATACTGCTGAAAAGAAATATCACCTTAATGTATCAGAACACAAGCAGGAACTTTTGTTGAAGGCGCTGACTTCTGGGTTTTATCAGTTGCTCTACATGAGAAAAGAAGAAGAAGAAAAAAAAAGCATTAAGAGTCCGGCTTCTCCAGGGGAAATTAAATAGAGCACATAGAGCCGCTACGGTTTGTGCAAGCTTATGGTGCCGTATGAGTGATGCTCTCTTTTCACTGCGAAGCCATAACCCCCCTGATTAGAAAACAGACATTAAATCAAAGTTATTTCCCTCCACTGGTTCCCTTGGCAAGCTGCACTGATGCTATCGTGAAATACTCTTCCATATCTTTGTTTCTATTATTTATCCTGCTGGCATGAGGGATTCATTTTCTCTGCGTTAGCAACAACGCTTGGATGGCATAAAGTGTATTGCTGGACAAAGAAACAACGGCTTTTCCAAATAAAAAATCTCATTCTGTAAAATGTTTTTGAGGGGGCATAAACACAAGAGATCAACTTGAACTTCAGAAGTGAATAAATGGTCCAAAATTAAATTGTGTCCCTTAGACTTTATTATGAACTGACATCAAAATGATGAATAATTCTTGTTTTTTTTCTTGTTTTTCAAACAATAATAAATATGACCAGGATTACTTTACAACACTATAAAAATTACATTTAAATACATTTGTCCAAATAATTCAACCAATCTCTTTCATTGAATTTGTACATTTCTGTACCGCTTTATGTCCATTCAATGGGCAATTACTGGATTTGAGTTCCACAGAACAAAAGTAAAGAAAAAAAAACCTTTTTGGCATTGTATTGCTCTGCAACCCCAAGCCTCAGTGTATTTTATTGGGATTAAATGAGACAGACCTACATATGAGTGCATGAATGTGATGTTAACAAAAAGAAGGATATGTGGTTTTTATTACCCCGAACACACCACATTTTGACACATGGTGTTGGTAGCCTTATGCTGTGGGAGTGCTTTTCTGACAGATGGTGCGAAACACATTGAAATCCTCGAGAAAAACTTGTAAGACACTTAAAAAGCATGACACTACCGCCACCTTGTTTTACTATGGGGATTCTGTGTTCAGGGTACTCAAAACTGCATCATTTTTTTTTTATGTATATATATATATATATATATATATATATGTCAAATCAATAAAATCCCAACATTGACGTTTGTGGTTGTTGAACAACAAATTGCGAAGAGGTGTATTTCTGGACGGCTCTGCAGCTATTGCTTATTGAAGTTTCCAGCTGTAGGTTCACATTAATGCTATCACATGCAACGCGGTCACTTCCTCCAGTCTCTTCATAGCTGAAATGCTATGATCACCATTACTGTTGCTCCATCCCACAAATCCCAATCTTTTGGCTTCTCTTCCCACTTCCTCCCTGAAACCCCCTCGCCTTCCAAGGCCACATCTCCAACTTTTGATTGACCGGAACTCACTGGGCGAAAGCAGACGAGCATATTGTGTGCGTGCATGCATGCGTGCCTTCATCCATGCCGCAATTATCCTTCTGGGAGCCGAGCAGGGTCCAGAGACCAGTGCATTCCACAGAGAGCACAAATCCATTAGGAGAGAGCAAAGTTCCAGAAGACTCTTGGGGTTTCAGTGCAAATCTCAGAAGAGTACGTTTAAATCTAAATTTCCTTGCATAAACACTTAGTAGCTCCCTTTGCCAGACCCCTCGGCTTGTTTTTTCCACATCACTTTGCTATTAAACCTAGCAGGAAGGCATCTTATGACTTAAATCTCATTATGAAGTCACATTTTTATTTCGCCTTTGGCAGTGTTCTCAAAATGCTTCATTTTGAATAGATTTGTTTATCAAAAAAAAAAACTGCAAATATTTGTGCCTCTGAGGCATGGAGTTCACAGTGCAGTGGTTGTTATACTGCTTTCCTTCAAACTGTGCACTCCTGTTTGTTAAGTGTCATGTGCAGAAACGTCAACAACCAAAGGGAAAAAAAGTACACCGAGCTACCATCAAACATATTGTTTCTGTTTTTTTGCATGTCCCTTATGGGCACCTTTCATATCCGTCCCTGTTTGATCTGAATGTTTCGAATGACTGCATCTTTTGGAGCTTGCTTTTCCAGTGGATTTCATGCAGTTCATGTAGCTTGGAAGCAAGTTATCCCCGGTCTCTCCTGCATCCCAGTTAACTTCTATTACCGTTTCGGCGTAGCTTTCGCAGGGGTTGCCCGGTAATTTAGCCTCCCTACCCTGTGTGGGGATGCTGATGTCCCTGCTGGTGTTATAAACCTGGGGCGTCTCCATTTGTAGTGCTGGAGTTACTTGTACCTGCTCTCTTAGAGGTAGGCAGTCCTCATCCCACTTCTCCAGGCGATAGGAAAAGGCTAGGATCAATAGATGGATGAGTTCAATCAGGTTGAGCAAAAGGGAGATGCCGGCTATCACCTGAGAGTAGACAGTGAAGATGGTCTTCTCCGTGGGCCGAGAGACAAAGCAGTCCACCGTATGAGGACACGGGAATCTCGTGCACTCAAACTTGGCTGCAATGAAGAAGCCGTCATAAAGGAACCAAAGTCCGGCGATAAATCCCGCCTCCAAGAGGACCTTTAGGAGGATGCTGAACGCATATGCCCTCAGAAGCCTCCCTTTCAGTTTCGGAGCTTCACTAGATGCCTTTTTAGGCGCTATCCCTTTCCCACAACTGTTTTCTTTCTCTTTCTGCTCTGCAGTCTCTTTAGTCACGCTGGTATCCTCCCTTTCTTTCGCTGTTTCACATTTTTTACTCCCACTTTCACCTTTGCCCTCTTTTGGGTCCTTCCCACCTCTGATGGCCACGTATCCATAATAGAAGATGGAAGGAGTCGAGACGAAGATGACCTGGAGGACAAAGTAGCGGAAGTGGGATATGGGGAAGGCTTTGTCGTAGCACACGGAAGTGCAACCGGGCTGCTTCGTGTTGCAGACAAAATCGGCTTGCTCGTCATCCCACGCCGACTCAGCAGCTGTTCCCAGGACCAGAATGCGAAACAGGAAGAGTACGGTGAGCCAGATCCGGCCAATAGCAGTTGAGTACTCTTGGCCCTCCTCTAGCAGGTGTTCCAGGAAGGACCAGTCAGCTCTGGACATCCTCTGCTCCTGAAAGGGACAGATTATAGAAAGGAGGCAATGAGACACATTACAAAATCAAAATTAACCCAAAAACTACGACTAAATGTACTGAAAGAAGATACTTTTTAAAGCAGGAAAAATATTTTTTTTCCCAATTTAAATTTATTTAGCCAACTCCCCTCAGAGATAATGTTACCAATACAACAATGGGAATGAATATTGTTGATCGCAAGCCTACTAATATTTGAATAAGTGTTGCCATTGCTAAAATCTACAGGCAGACTAGAACAGCGCAGAAAATTGACATCATCGTTTAGCAAACAGAAGGAGAAGTTGCAATCTTCTTGGAGGAATCCAAGTGAATGGGAGAAATCTCAGTCTGAGCTGTAAAGAGAGATTAGAATTGTGCAGAATAACGCAGAAAGGCGATGGCCATGCCAGGTTTGTAGCATTCCAGAAGCTTAATATTATGATTATCCCTTAAAAAAAACTGATGTGTGTTTGGGATCTTTGTCCTGTTAGAACACCCAACTGTGGCCAAGTTTCAATCATCTACAAACAAAAATCCTCTTGGCAGCGAACCAGACCCTCAACATGATAATAGCTCCTGACTTTTTAAATCTGCCTGCTAAGTCAAACCAAGTAATGGGGACAAGACGTCCTGGTTATATAAAACTGTGGTTAACATGACTGAGATCCAAAGTTTATGTATAATAATTTTTTTACTGTTTTTCCATTTCATTTGTTAAGGATAGCGACTCACACCAGTTATTTCCAGTTTTATATTTGTAAATGAGCACATTCGTCGACAAACATCGAAAAATGCTTTAAGAGTGATCATAAAACTCTGGCATCAATGCATAATTGGCAAAGCAAACTGAATGTACTGACAGCATAGTTTGTCACTCTAATATAACTTCATAAGTTGAAAGCAGAAGAAAGATATAAGAAATGTTGTCTGAGAGCTGCAGGTTGCAGCTGTATCAGACCGGCAACCTACTTAGGGATTTAAAAGAACTCTTTGGACGGCCCAAGCTCACTTTAATCTGGCAAAGTTGCTTTGATGATCATGCGACCGACTGTGTTACAGCTGTTTGTTTTGCCAGTGACATGAACTGTGTCGTGTCAACATCCTGCAGCCTGTGGCTGTTCCTTTTCTTGAAGCCAAGATTTACATAATTTCAGGGCAACAAGTGTTTCAAATTGAGAGAATGTTTCACAATGGGCTAAATCTAAATCTACTCCTTTCACCTGTTTATTTTCACTAAGCTTGTCTATTTTTCCAGTGTAGAAAGTAAGAGTGCTCACTTTAGGTTTTCTTTTCCGATTGCCAATAAACAGCCATATGTCCTTTCAACAAATTTCCACTAGAGAGGCTTTTCGCATAGAGAACAATTTGCTTTGTATACAATGACTGGCTGTGACATCATCATCTTTACACGAAGCTGTGAAAAAGGTTTTGCTCCTTTCACATTTCTGCTGTTTTTGCTTTTATGTCACACAAGTTTCAGACCCTCAAACAAATCTGAGAAAAAACAGACTTGGAAAACAACAAATTATTGATATAATAATATAATAATGGGAAATTAGAGGAGGGAGGGTTTAATGGGATACCTTAAAGTGGCAGCATCATGTAAAATCAACTTTGTTACAATGTTATTCCCTCATCAAAAGCGCACGTGGAGTGCTGCCTTAATTCTTTTATGCACGTTTGAGAAATCCTTTAATCTCCACGACAACCGTCCAGCTGTGAAAAAACACCTCTTGAGGACAAATCTCCCCTCTGATCTGCGACTTCTTAGCTACCAAACTTCCACCACACAGAGCAGCCCGAGTCGCAACTCCTCCGCTCAGCTCAGCTCCTTCAGACTAGCCAGCAGCAGTTAGCAAAGAACTAGTGGAACTGCACATCTGCTGAGCTCAACATACGAGCTGCTTCTCAGTGCAACGCTGGGGAAAAACGTTGCTACAAAGTTAATAGAGGAGCGCTGTTGTGAGGCGGAGGCCCAATATGAAGGCGTCAAAGCAGAAAGTCACATTTCTTTTAAAGCATATTGAAAAGCTCACTTTCAACAAAGACTGTTTGTTAAGAACCCCAGAGACTGAGAATCCCTTCATTACAGGAACCCCTGGAGTCATTGCTTGGGGGATGTTCTACCGCAACGAGGACCGGGCTACAACTTACACAGAGCAACCCATTCAACATTGTTCAGAACCCCATGCTGGAGCAAAGTTCAAAGAATACAACGCTTACAGGTAATGACGGACATAAACACTGACACAGTAAAGCCTCGAAAAGGTAATGGTTCTAAGTTTAATTTGGGGGGGAAGGGGGGGAATCTAATTGGGTAAAAAAAATACACTAAATGCACCAAATGCATATATTCTGAAATGCATCTGAAAACATTCCAACTTATGGCTATTTTTACAGCATGCAAAACTTTCCAGTGGAATGTTTTTTGGGGGTTTTTTTCTCAAAGAGGTTCTAAAATCGGCATGTGGGTCCTAAATCCTGACTACGTGTGGGGTGAAGACAAACTTTGAAACCATGGACAGTAAAAGCTTTTTTGGACTAATATCTGAGTGGGGGTGGGGGGGGGCAAAATAAATTAGATTAACCAATTAGATGTAAGTGGACAATATCCTTTTACATGCAAGATGTGTTGCATTTGTTGCAAGAGTTTAATTTTTAAGGGGACGCAGCCCAGATACGCCACGAGAACTGGCTTGAAAATGTACCAATTACATTTTAATTGGTACATTTTATTTCCATGACGGAATTCTCACTGGTTTTCGAGAAAAAAACAAAAAAAAAAAAAAAAAAAAAAAAAAAAAAGCAGCGGGTTGTTTTATTCTGTAAGTAACAAACGAGCTAATTTTCTCCAACCTTTTCAGCATAATGGTTCCTTCTCCACGAAAGAGCGTGCGTATCTGGCGGCGGTGCCTTATTAGTTCTTCCATGAGCTCACACTGTTCTCGGGGGGCTCCGGGCCCTCTTCATCGAGATGCAGAGGAGTAAAGCTTCCATACACTAAAAACAACTAAAACAAAAACATATGGCACTAAACTTAGCATTTTATTTGAGCGGGAGTAGGGAGCGCTGCAACTGTTTACGACTAACCTTTGAAGGACCCGTCCAAAGAGAGGCCGTTATTCCTTTTTACAGAACATGACTACTGGCCGTTTATGCGTTTGGTGAGTCAGGTAATGAGGGTAAGTAATGTGTAACGCGGCGTACTGTGGCTGAATTCAATAAAGTATTGTCCTGACCTGTGAGGATGTTAGGAAACGGAGGATGTTGGACATTGTTGAATGACACAGCAGCTTGCTCAAAGGGCAACACACACACACACACGCACACACACACATCTGAATAAACATCCTGTGTGGGGGAGTTCAGGCTTTGCTGTGATGCTTGCCTATTTGTTTATGCTATTAATGTTTTTATGTTATTTCTTCCATCTCAGGGAAGAAATAACTCTTCATATGTGAAAATAAAAACTCCTATGACAGGATGAGGAGACAATGGGCTGCCAAGCAACTTGGATACCATAATATTGTAGTAACTTTGCTGTTCCTGGGAAAATTCACATGAGGAAATGCTGACAATGTACCTATGAGTAGACTGGTATGAGTATAATAAGTATACTAAGCCTAAATGAAAATATTACAGTATCACTGAGTTAACACAAAATTAAAGTGTAAAGTGATCCTGCTTCTACTGAAATTACATAAAATATTATTGCTCTTCCAATAATACCTATATTATTTATTGTTTTGATATGCTACATCAGTAAAAGTGATATAATTCCTTTTGCTTGAATAAAATTATAGAATTAACTGTCACACACCTTAATATTGACACTATATCCATTTAAACATCTTTGTTCATAGTTGCTCCCTGTATTTATGGCATTCACAACTTTTTTGTTCCCAGGAAAGAATCCCAAAATAATCCACAACAAGTAAATAGTAGCATCTAAACTAGCTGAGTAGCAGTGTATAGCAACAGGTGGGGGAGGGACAGACAACCATGATTTAAAAAAGCTGGAGAAAATGTACCTATAGCTCTTTCTCAGGCTTCCAGTTAAAATGACTTTCAACTGTTGGGGCTCAGCAGTTTTGTAATCTTTTCAAAAACCTCCAGACACTTTGAAACACTTTAATGGTTTTAATAAATAACTCCTGTTGTATGTAGTGAGTAGTGACACAAATTGTTTCTTGTCTTACAAACGTCACTGGTTTAACATTAAAAACACACATGGCAAAAGTTCATCTTACAATAAAAACAAAAGAAAAAAAAACATGTAAAAACAAATCTTCTGGCTGCTTCTAGGTTTCACACAAAATTATTTGTAGGTTATTCTGGTGATGCCTGTAGGAACGGTGCATTTACACATGTAATCTGGTGAGAAATTGAAATAAAAATTACAATGTGTGCCTTACTTTCTTTTTGACAAGTCCCTAAAAGGACTTATAGAGAAATACCAGTGATAGAAAATGTTAGTTTTGAAAGCAGAGCTTTGTGAAAACTTTGTGTATGTTTATACCAGTAACGTAGTTGCCAAACTATATTTAAAAAAGTCAAGTTTTGATCAATCACCAAAAAGTCACATAACAATAAGTAGCACAAATAAACTCAACGAAGGCATTCAAACCAGCCATTTCTTTAAATTAAGTACTGAAACTTTCAAATGTACTAAAGGGATTGAAATAAGATACAGTGTCACCTATTACAATTACATTGTATTTAATTACATCTATTACAAGCCCTCTACTGGAATTATCCTTTAAAAAAGTTAGTAAAACGCAAAAATGAAACTTTCACCTGCCTTTCACTGTAAACATAAACCAGAACATTTATTCAATCACGACAAAAGAGAGCTCACACTTCATGATGCTCTCATAATTCCATCCGCATTTTTTATTATTATTTTTTTCTTATCCAGGTGAACCTTCTTACCTTTCTCTCTCTTAAAGCGCCTTGTGTCTCCTCACCGGTTCCGGGTCCCTCTGCTGTGTACTGCTGATGTTACGCAGCTTGAAATGTGCTGTTGCCTTCTTTATAAAGATCCGCTGTAATCGGAAAAAGTGGGGAGAACTTTCCCATGCCTGCTTCTCTTCCCCTCTCCGTTCGGGCCCTCCCTCAGGAACTCCGTCCAGGAAACGTGATGCATGAACTCAGAGCGGTTCTGGGTAACTGCGCTCCGACGCTCGCGCACTCACCCTTTTTAAGGCGCTATCAGCGCGCGCGACAATTGCGCGATGGGAGAAATGACGCCTGTTGCGCTTAGTTTGACTTTGGAGGTTCGCGGTCACTGAAGATGAAACGGAAGCACGAATGAAAACAGAAAAATAAATCAGCTTAAAATAAACTGATAGAACTATCACTATTATTATTATTATTATTACAAAATAGAAAGCTATTTATCCTAATCAACATTTGAGCATCTGAATTTATGTTATGGCTAGAATAAAGACAGCTTTGTTGTTTTTAGGATTTTATTTCACATCTGCACGTAAATGACTCGATGTAATTTGTTGTATTTCCTACTTCGAACAATTAATTGAGCTTACTCTACTGCTTGATAACTATAGTTGGATGATTTCTCTGAAACATTATTATTTATTGTAAAGTTCCTCGAGACATTAATTGTGAATTGGTGCTATAAATGATTCTGATTTGAATTGAATTAATTTTCTGACGCCTTCGAGTCCCTTAAAGTTAACTTTTACGCGTCAGTTTACTAGATAGCTGATACATTATCCATCTGATTATGTCCACCAGACTGTAATTTAGCATTACACCACATAATGGCGCCACTTACCTTATTTCCAGTCAGCGCGCGACTTCCAGGAAGCTCTTCAAACTGCTGAAACATTGTGTGGATTTATAATCTCTCACTATATTTTGTAAACTGTCAGTCATAATGTATATAGCACCATGGAAAAATATTCATGCCCCTCGAATCTTTTCACATTTTTGTCTTTTTTTTTTTTTTTTTTTAAACATGATGGACCAATGCAACATAATGTGAATGTAAAGTGGATGGAAAATAATATATAGTTTTAAAATATGAAATATGAAAAATGTGGAGGGTGTTTTGTTTTAAAGATTTATATGAAATCTTCATTCTGTTGAGCTAAGAGTCTAAGCTCTTTTTCTGACATGTTTTCTTCCATTTACATGAATTTAACTCCATTCACCTTTCGATAAACCTTGTATCCACGTCCCTGAACCTGCTAAACTAAAGCATTCCCAAATCATGATGGTGCCACCACCATGTTTTCACCGTGATGTCAAATGGTAATTTTCTTCAAAATGACCTATGATCATATGAATTTATTTATTTATTTATTTATTTATTTATTTATTTATTTATTTATTTATTTATTTAATTATTTAATCAATCTCATTCGTCTGATTGGAAGAAAAATCCTCAATTGGATTTAGGTCTGGACTTTGACTTGGCCGTTCTATTGTATTTCTGGCTAGGGGTTGTTCTCCTGATGAAAGGTAAACATACAGCATTCTTCTACCTCCACCACGTGAGGTAATTTCTCCCGTAGATGTTGTTTTTCATGTAGGTCAAAACTGGTCACTTTTGAACTAATCTGACCAGAAAACATTATTCACAAGTTTGCCATACGCCTTTTGTAGTTCGCATCAAGCTGCATATGAGACTTCTTATAGTTTACTTCCAGCAATTTATTTCTTCTTGCTGCTGTCCCATACAGCCAAACATGACCAGTAGTTGACCTGTGGTAAGATTTCCCCCCCATAAGCCGTGTATTTCTGTTTACTAATGTGCTAAAACAGACTTCTGACACCTTCACAGGAGACCTGTATTTATTATGTGACCTCTTAAGGCAGCTGGCTTCTCTGGGTTTTTATTCAGTGGTTGGATTACAGAGCAGATGATGACACAGGTCGAGTGTGGTTAAAGCAACAAGTGTTTTATATTTCCACATTCAACACGTCTTCACGAAAGAGAGGTGGGTCAGGCTTTACAACAGCAGCAATCACCATGTGTCAGTCAAACTACAAAGGGCTCTGCTGGGAATGGATTAGACCATCACTCACTCACTGGGGAAGACCAGATCCCAATTTCACCATTTATACACAGAATGCTTTGATATAAATGCTTGTTATAATATTTAGCAGTTTAATAAAAATATGTAAATATCCAATCACTTAACTTTACACATTGTATTCATACAACCTCAGAAATTTCCCACACTTTCTGGAACCTTTAAATGGTATCCAAGAAATTTTTCCCTGAACATCCCGGGGAAGTCACAGCCTAACATACAATTTTTATTTATATATTTACATTTATTTATGCTATGATGTCACATGATCGTAATGGAATATAAACGGTTGTCTCATTCTGAAAAAGTTTAAAGTCTTTTTGTGAGGAACTGAATTTTTTTCTCAAAATCCTAAATTTCCCCAATAGTTCTGTGGAAAAAAAAAAAAATCAACGCCCCCCCCCGCCGCCCCACCTCGCCAAAACAACAGAGACCAGTTTACTCTGTTTGGATTCAGGTCAAGGACATCCCAAGGAGCGCATGAAATGAAACTGACGGCATTAATAAACATAAAGGCGGATGAGCAACTTTCTATTGGGTTTATGCTCAAATAGATTTGAGCTGCAAATCATTTTACTGTGACCGTTAAACCATGATGGGTTCTGAATTGATAGCCAAGCTTAAGCAAACGGCAGCAACAGCAACAGTAACCTCCTGTAAAGTGAGTTATTTTGCCTCCACCATTTTCTTATTGTATAATTTATCAATAAGGATGCTACTGCAGTCTTCACATTGATCTTTAGCTGAAATGGCGCCAGTGGTATTACCTGAACTGTAGCATGATACGGTAAACCGGTAGCATTTGGCTCCTGACAAATTTGTAACGTGATACTTTCATGCTGCTTTGGGTCTCTTTTGCCTTTAATTACTGTACTCCTTTGTTGTGGCACATCCATCTGCATTAAGAGTGGGTTATTTCCCCAGAATCCTGTGTATGGTCACACTACTACATCATTTCCTTTGTAGCTCATGCCAAATATTTCCCAAAGGAGTTTAAAGATGGTCTCCGCGGTGACTCAGAGCATTGGTTAAAATTGTGTTATGCTTTCTGCAGCACTCTCTCACAGCCTGACCCTGTTGAATCATTCAACGTTAAATGACTTTTTAAATAATGACAAGCTGCTCACTGCATCATTTATGACGAAGTAACTTGCTACCAGCAGAAACATTTTTATGCAATTTTTATTATTATTTTTTTTACAATTTCTGGTTCCCACATGCGTACCCATGCTCGTGTCGTGTGTTGGGGTTTTTGTTTGTTTTGGCAGGATATTGCCACCGTATGTGTACAAAAAGAAGCGCAACCTTTCCCCCCCCCCTCATTGTCTGACATTAGGACTAGACTTTTCCTACAAAAAGTGTGGCAAGTAGTCAAGCTTAAGCAAACAGTGAGCAAGTAGTACCAACCTAATACGGTCAATGTCAAAATAATGTAGTTATATCATCCAAACTACCCCTCTCAGACAATGTTTCTCCTCCACATTCTGCTCACTGGACAAATCACCAAATAAATCTTCATTTCAGCTTCAATCTACAAACTCTAATGGTACCATTTTTGACCCGGTTGAGCAGTACTTGATTCACAGTTTGATACTCCAGACATGACATCACTCATCAGCAACTCTCAGCTGCATTTTTGACTGTTATGTGGCAGCTGCTCTGACACTTTTCTTGCACACTATCGTGAAAAGAACATGGTTGAGTGTATTTTGGTCATGAGATTTGTTTTGAGGGTTTCCTTAGCACCAACGGTATTCAAATGGAATGAATTGGGCTACAATAAACGGATATGATTATTATTATTGTTATTAAAGTTTAAGTTGGCATTCCTTGTAAGCATATATCCTGAAAAGAACGGGATTTGGTGTGTGGTTGTGTTCGTGTTGAAGGTGCATGCAGCTCTTTTAAGCTTTAATACCATCAACTCCTCTGTTTGGACAGCACACAAAGCTTCTCTTCTATTTGTGTTTATTGGGAGCTCTTTTATTATGTTCAGGGAAGGGCTTGGCAGTGAGCGGGCTTTGTTTACAGATGTACTGCCACAGTCGAACTGAACAAGCTGAATGTGTTGTCAAAATCTAGACTCTCTTTCCCTCCCTGGAAATAATCACCTAAAATTTCCAAGTACAACTCTCACTTGGGAGGCAACAATAACAGACAGTAGCTGTGTTTCCATCAGCCAGATAATTGCACAATTTGACATTTCGGAAATGAATTTACTGGATAAAAACATGGCAACTTCAAAAAAATAAAATAAAAATTGCATGTTTATCTTGTAGGAAAATGTGGAGATGAAACACTGCTGTCAACCAAGGTTTTCAGTCCTAAGTCATTTTGGAAAACATTCATCTGCATGGAACTCCATTGGAAACCCATTGGAACCCTATTGGAACCTCATTGAAAACCCATTGGAACCTCATTGAAAACCCATTGGAACGATCCCTCACGTCAAGGTCAATTCTGAACTGTTATTCATTGTCAATCAGAGTCTAATTCAAATGCAGACACCACAACATACAAAGATTCAAAGGCAGCTTTCCTTCTTGTACTGAACAGAGATGGATCACAAGATAAGACGGTCTTCATCAGTCCAACGTATAAAAAAAACTAATTACGTTCTTTCTTCCTGAGAAGTCAAGTTCTGACAGTTATTCCTAATCATCCCCATGTCATCTCTCAATATGGAGAATATTTAAAAAAAGGAAGGTTTGGACAATGTACCCGACCGGTGCACCACTCAGACTTTTATCAAAAGCCTGCTGAATTGACAGTGAATCATTCTGACAGATCAGCGTCTTGCTCTTTTCTTTGGTCATTACGTCTGTAGATGAATGTCTCGGATGGAAGTGGGGACAGCTGACAGAGAGTAATGGAACTGCTTCTATTCAGGAGACGCGTTATGTCTGCCTGTGTTCTGGAAGGAATCAGGGAGGGAGGGCGGCTGTCTCTCTTCCCTCACCAAACTGCCAGCTACAACTTCCATTAGTTCCTCTCACTGGAGAGATTGTTTTATTTACCGTTGTGCTGATTTATATCTAAATGTGAGGTGATAAGGATAATAATACAGATCCTTACTAAGTCGTTG